GTTGTGAGTCCATAAATTTACCGCTGTCCAACCGGAGGACCTGACATATTGTTTGTTGTAGAGCAAAGTCATACTAGACTGTCCACTGTGTCTAGCACGAGGAGTCGGAGCCCAGATTTTAGCGTTGTGAGTCCATAAATTTACCGCTGTCCAACCGGAGGACCTGATATATTGTTTGTTGTAGCGCAAAGTCACACTAGACTGTCCACTGTGTCTAGCACGAGGAGTCGGAGACCAGATTTTAGCGTTGTAAGTCCATAAATTTACCGTTGTCCCACCGGAGGACCTGACATATTGTTTGTTGTAGAGCAAAGTCACATTAGACTGTCCACTGTGTCTACCACGAGGAGTCGGAGACCAGATTTTAGCGTTGTAAGTCCATAAATTTACCGCTGTCCCACCGGAGGACCTGACATATTGTATTGTGACACGAAAAGATGAGATTAGACTGGTCAAACCTAATAACAGAAAATAAGAACGTCTCAATACTGTACATGTCTAAGCTTTTTTTTTTAAGAATCTTGGAACCTGTAGTCTAATACAGGTTAAGCAGACACGATGTGTTAGCAAGATAGAACTTTCTACAGCTTAAGAATGCAACATGTTAACGATGTTTATATACCTATATTTTCGGTTGTCATTTCGTAATTTACTCTTCTTTGTTGCTCTATAAAATTATTGTGAAATCGAGCAAAAGTAAACATTTAAACCGGAAAAAAATATATCAAACTCAACAGAAAACAGGATTTTAAGTTTTGTGTTACGTCAAATATTACCCTTGCATGAACACAAAATAGAATTTTCACAAGTAATTAAAATATAATGGAAGAAACCATCATACTTTACTGAGACTAAACCTCACCTTTTAATAACGATGTTCCAGTTCTTGTACTGCCCATAGAACCACTTCCTTCGTCGTCGATCGTGTTCCATCAAAGGATCATGGTTATTATATTGTTAACATTACCAGATATGCCCAGCTTGATGATAATGATTTTCCGTGTCGGAAGGTTCTCTTTCGTAACCATAGCTTACACTTTGTAGATGAGGATGTCACAAACCTTACTTCCTCTAAAAGAGATGCGACTTTTTCTCTGAGTACATTCCACTGTTGCCCGTTTCAGAATGGTTCACATCTGCGATGAAATGTGAGAGCAGTAAATGGTTCTTATGAAGTATGATTAACCTTCCTTATAGGTTATTCAATTAGTTACTTGAATCTTCTCTGAATTCATGATCTGTGCGCATGTCTTCTGCTTTAACAAGCTTTTATAATAAAAATAAAACCTTTATTTGAAACTGCAACCTATTTATTTACAGTTTTCAAAAAATCGTTATTTGACATAACTAGCCCCCAGCGGCGCAACGGTATGTCTGCGGATTTACAACCCTAGAAACTAGGTTTCGACACCCGTGGTAGGCAGAACACAGATAGCCCATTGTATAGATTTGTGCTAATTACAATCAAACAAATTTACATCATTCATGAGTAAAATCGGTACCTTTTTTATTTTTGTAGCAATCTATAAAATATTTTTTTCTGTTACAAACCGGCTTACATTTTAAAAGCATTTATGTTTTCAACGTATATAACTCACTCCGACGCCCATTCCATCATGCATTGAAAGTCGGGATTAATTTCAACGTAGCTATGCACGAGTCCAAACAAAACGGCGTTGTTCCTCTAAATTACATTAACCACTCTCAGTTCCTGTGTGGCTATTCTCACACATTGAAGTTGTAAATAATTCTTCATTTAGATATATGTATAGTGATCTCTTAAATTCACCTTCCTACCGGTAGTCCTTTTTTTTGCAAAATTATTAAAACGGCTTATGCATTTTTTCAGCTCTAATCTAGTACATATTAAAATAAAATAATGACTCCTATGACCAGGTGGTTAGGGCGCTCGACTCGTAATCTGAGGGTCTCGGGTTCGAATCCCCTTCACACCAAACATGCCAACCTCCGCCTTTGCCTGGTCCCAAGTCCAGGATGAGAAAGGAGGAGTGTTGGGCGTGGGGCTAGCAACTCCACCCCGTAAAAACTAACCTGCTACAAGTAACTGCAACAACACCTTCCATTGGCGAGGTGTTGTTGCGGCCCTATTCTCCACTGGGAGTTTACAGGAAT